TTTAACATGATAAGGAGATATAGTGAGGGATTTAACATGGTAGAGAGAGATAGTAAGGGATTGAGCATGATAGAGAGAGTTGGCGAGGGATTTAACATGATAAGAGAGAGAGTGAGGGATTTAACATGATATAGAGAGGTAGCTAGGGATTTAACACGATAGAGAAATATATATCGAGGGATTTAACATGATAGAGTGATAGCGAGGTATTTAACATGATAGATATAAATGAGCGATGGATTTAACATACTGAGAGCGAGGGATTTAACATGATAGAGATATACCGAGGGATTTAACATGATAGATAACAAATCACACTCTCATCCTCCTTCTTATACTAAAACTCCTCTAAGATTTTTTTTTTTGGGGGGGGTCGCTAGGTCAAGGAGAGAGAAAGAAAGGAGAGGAGAGAGAATGAAAGGAGGAGGAGAGGGGAGGAGAGGAAGTGAATAAAATGAAGAGAAGAGATGATATAAGGAAGAAAGGAGAGAAGGAAGAATGAAAATAATCAAACAAAAGTAATAAAGAGCAACACTCATAACTAATTGATAATAACAAAGACGAAACATATAAATAAAAAGGAACTAATAACCAAGGCGATAAACCAATCAACAAAAGTAAACAACAAGAGATAAACAACACGGCAAACAGCAAGAGATAAACAAGTTCAGACAGGTAACAAACAATAATCAAGTGTAAAAGAGATATAACACAACAGGTAAGTGAAGCAGAGATAATTAACCACTTGAGTACAATTACTTAACCTACTAAGTAAAAGGTTATCGTACTCAAGAGATTTAAGCTAAGTCATTGTACTAACTCGAGGGGTTAAAAATCTCCCACTTATGTGAATAATTCGTTGTACTCAGGGAGATGGCTTTGTACTCACGAGGTTAAGATATCTCTCACTTACTTGGACTAATCTACTGTACTCAGGGTTAACATCGTACTCAGGGGGTAGGCATCGTACTAAGGGGGTTGGCATCGTACTAAGGGGGTTGACATCGTACTAAAAGGGTTGGCGTCATATTAAGAGGGTCGGGATTGTATTAAGAGGGTCGGCATCGTACTAAGGGGGTTGGCATGGTATTCAAAGGGTTAATGAATTATGTACAGGTAAGATGCTGGGGACCAAGACTTACCTGGGCTGGGTATTGTTGACGGAGAGGTAGTCAGCGGAGGGAGTGGAGCCGTAGAGCATAGCACCTCCAGCACCAGGTGACTTGGGCGCCGTCCCAGTCCCATACCGCGGACTGCTGCCACTCATCAAGTACTCTGTGGAGGTGAAGAGAGTCAGAGGTTAGCTTGAGATGGTCAGGTGTGGAGGTAGAGAGGGAGGTTTATGGTGTAGGAGTGTTATCTTAGGAGGTCATCTTAGGTAATCAGGTGTGGAGGTAGATAGGTAGGTTAAGGGTTAGGAGGTCACTCAGGTGTGGAGGTAGATAGGTAGGTTATGGGTCAAGAGGTCATCTTAGGAGGTCACTCAGGTGTGGAGGTAGAGTGGAGGTTACGGTGTTTACTTATTTCCAGTGACAGCAGTAGTAACGTCCACCTCCCACAGGATAACACGTGAGATTAATTCCCGTTCTTTCATATAAATTACCCAAGTAAGGGTTGATAGGGTGATTTGCGTGCTAACGACAGTGTTGGTAGTTTGGGAATAAATAAACCTATTCATTCGTTCGTTACCTCACTCACCTTACATGCTGCTACTTCAGTTACCAAGCCGGGTCTGGTAATGATCACTCCATGTCTCGTTGAGAACTATACATCCATATTTCTAGGATGGTTGATAGACCTGCACTAAGACTGGGTTATTTATTTCCACAATCAATTTAAAAATAACTTTCCAGCTTCGTGATTAAGGAAGAACACTCTAGCCCGGGGTAACCGTATTAAGTGTCCGTCCCCCAGGAGGGTGAAAAACCAGACTGATTTTGCATTCTCTGAACCAGATAGGAAAGAGACCTCCTCGACATGCGATTGAAATTTTGTTGAAGAGTCGCTAGATGTCTCTGCCAAGGCTTGTCGTCTAACAGTTGACGAAAAATTGAATCCAGTGTTTCCCAGATTGTGTGGCTGACGGATGTTATCCTCGCGTCATATACAACTGTGTCAATATAATGCTAAGAGATATATCAACATGTACATGTTTAAAACTTATAATTGCATGTGACTAAATAAAGAAAATGAAATACACTATACGTTAGATATATATTTATAATGTAAAATGTAATGATAAAACTGATAAAACTAATTTTCTCGTGATTAACTTATCAACACGTATGTATCTCAAAGCATATATTGAGGTACAGGGTAGAGTACAAGTGATTAAATATATTGAAGTATCTAACAACAATGTTCATCTGGACGTACAGTATCTGGCAGCTGTAAACTTTGCTGAGACCTCAATAGATGGGGGCACTGGTCGACATCACATTTTATACTATGCTTAAGGCTGCCACTTTCCCACCTTTATAAGCCTTTGTTGATAACTACACGAGACGGAGTAACGTCACAGTGTTATGAGCTGCACACGGCTAACTATCTAACTACTTAACTACCTTACAGGATAACTTACCTAACTTGCACTAATGATTCAAATTACCAGAGGTTCACTATGTCTGGTATGTAGGCAAACAAACATATTATTGTAAATCAGAATCCACCATTATCCTCAACAATAATAAACACTGACGCTTCACCACACATAAACATCTGACGTTCTCACTCACCAACCCACAGTCACCATCGTCAACACAACCACAATAAAGAAAAAGAACTAAAGTGGATGGTGAGAGGAGGAGGAGGAGGAGAGGTGGAATGGGGGTTGACGGGAGATGGAAAGGGGTGAGGAGGTCAAGACAACTCTCTCTCTCTCTCTCTCTCTCTCTCTCTCTCTCTCTCTCTCTCTCTCTCTCTACTATAAATAAGTAAAAAATAAAGTAAAATAGCAAAAGAAAACAACAATAAAAAAAGTTATTAGCCCGTCTCCAAGAAACTAATCTCTGGAAGTTCAAAAGTTGGGGAGAAGGGAGGAAGAGGAGAGGTGTAAGAGTAGGGGATGGTATGAGGGGGCAGGAGGAGGCAGTGAGGGTAAGAGGTGAGGTTGGGAGGGAAAGAGTGAGGAGTTGGGAGGGAAAGAGGTGGTTGGGAGGGAGGTGAGGATAGGAGGGGAAAAGGAGGAGAAGGAGGTGGATGGGGTCGTCTTACTCTTCTCAGTGATTGCTAACATAACGAGAGAGAGAGCAGGATGTCAACAAAACACTCACACGCACCCAGGCGATGAACTCCTCCTCACACCTTCTGCTTCAGTCTCAGGTGACCTCTGCCGGGGTCGTAGGGGGTGGGGGGTGCAACTTCTTCTTCCTTCCTTCCTCCTCCTCCTCCTGCTCCTCCTCCTCCCCCCTCTTCCTTCTCTCCTACTCTTTCTCCCCACCACCACCACCTCCTCCCTCCCTCCCCTCCTCTTTCTCCTCTCCCTCCTCCCCCCCCCCCTCCCCCCCCAGGGTTGAGCTAAGAGCCTTACGCAATCTTGGGCTGCAAAATACTATGAATTTTAAAAGCGGCTGAAGGCGGCAGGCCAAGTGTTGGATTTTCTGCTGGGCTGAACGTGATGGTTTTAGTGGTGATGTTGTGATGGTGGCGTGTTGGTGGTGATGTTGTGATGGTGGCGGTGTTGGTGGGGGTAGTGTTGGTGTTGGTGGTGGTGGCTACTGTGGGGTGACGTGTCAGGGGAACGGCTATAGTGAGGATAGTGTTGATGTAGTGAGAAATAATGGTGAAATAAGAGGGAGGAAGGGAGGGAGGAATGATGGAAGCAAGAGGAGGAAGGGAATGATGGTGAAACAAGAGGAGGAGTGGATGTGACGTGACGGATGGGAGATGCTTGGCTCACTGGATGCTGGGAAAGGTGGGAAGATGAAGACGGAGAGAGAGAGAGAGTAGAAGCGAAAAATAAGAAAATTATGAAAACGACAAAAGATGACGAACAAATAGAAAACACAGGACAAATGACAAACGTATCAAATATCAGGAAAAGTTTGTCTCAACACACACACACACACACACACACACACACACACACACACACACACACACACACACACACACACACACACACACACACACACACACACACACACACACACACACACACACACACACACACACACACACACACACACACACACACCACACACACACACAAACGACTTTCCTCATTTTATCGGGTTACACAGTGGCTTAAAGAGTCTCGTCCTATAACAGATTTATATAAGTCTTCACCCTTAATGACACTCTTACCTGGACTATGTATAAGACCACCGTCATCAATGGCCAGGTGAGTTAAGACCACCGTCATCAATGGCCAGGTGAGTTAAGACCACCTTCATCAATGGCCAGGTGAGTTAAGACCACCTTCATCAATGGCCAGGTGAGTTAAGACCACCGTCATCAATGGCCAGGTGAGTTAAGACCACCGTCATCAATGGCCAGGTGAGTTAAGACCACCTTCATCAATGGCCAGGTGAGTTAAGACCACCTTCATCAATGGCCAGGTGAGATACTTCCCCCATCAATGAGAGATTTGTCTTTACTACCACGGTACAATATCATACATGATCTAGCGAGTCTCTTCATTCAGTGTTTCAGGGGGCATGGGGAGAAGTGCAGCTCTCTCTCTCTCTCTCTCTCTCTCTCTCTCTCTCTCTCTCTCTCTCTCTCTCTCTCTCTCTCTCTCTCTCCTCTCAGGAAGTAAACTGACAAGGTGAGAAATAAAAATCTACCAAAAGGCGAACTGACGCTAAGGCGAAGGATGAATGTCTCTCTGTCTCTATCTTATCTATCTTTCTGTCTCTCTCTCCTCTGGTGGCTACCAGGCCAGGTGAGGGGGACACGCCAGGGTCGCCACCCCCCCCACCCCCATTCCTCGACGGAGAAGACACCAGCGAATGGGAATTGGTGGAACACGTTGGCAGAACTCGGTGGCAAGACACCCT